GTAACAACCTGTAAAATGACAAATCATTTATACTGTAAGTATTTTTAAACTAAGAGGTGCTTATTCTAATATTACGTGGTAGCCTATGTATGGCCTAAACAACAATCTTATGTTTAGGAATGATTTAGAAAGACGATATATACTTTTTATCATTTTATATTGGTATTTTATTATAGGTATTTTTTAACCATGGGGTACACATTCTATTATTAAAGGATGGACATGAAGGAGATTACTGAACAACAAAACTAGACATCTAGTGAAATGAGTTAATGAGTTTCTGCTATGATTTATAATTCACGAGTCTACTTACCTTATGAAAGCTTATTCGTCGATTTCAGCAACTTCACACCAGCAACTTCTCAACACCACTACACGGATAGACTCGTCTCATGCGCCATTCCAGCTGTTTCCAGTTCGCGCTCCCCACATTCACTGCTGCAGTTTTAAAGTAACACACTCCAGACAGTTTCAAAGTTGTCCCTTGTCTGCGCTTCGATTAGTTTTCTCCTATTTTCCACACATGTTCCCGTCTTAAGCACCGCAGACACGGATTTCGTCGCACACAGTGACAGAGCCGTTCACGTTTGAACACACGTGACTTGCTGCATGCTCTCAATCTCATTCACTTCCTCCACATTCATAACCCAGCAACGTCGGGTTATTACTGATATCAACCCAAATTGGGTCAAATCAAGCCAGCTTCCTAACCCAACAGTCTCAACCCAGCATTTAGATTGAAACAAATACAAAATTTTGTAATCTAAAGCGTTACCAAATTTTCTAGCTTCAGACTTTGATTCTATCCTGTCGGAGGATATCAAACATGTTCGATATTTTCCAAGAGGTCCTCGTCATATTTTCAGCCGATTTTAGAACACATACTGTTGTTTAGTGTATGATGCCCAGTTTTTCCTTTGTGAAGTGTAGTGTATTCCAGCCTTTAGTAAAACATGGGTTAGAAAAAAATCAGAATCAAGAATTCCAATAGACCATGGAATAAATGAAAGTAAAATATTTTAAAAGCACAGCAGTGCATAGTATACCTGTTGTAGCAAATTGTTTACTTTAAGAGTACGTTATGTTTAATTTAAATGTAACATTTTTATTTTAATGTAAGTCTATGTTTTATTTATTTTAAATTTAACTGTAATTTACTTTCAAATGCCCAAATTGCTGAAGGGTCTGCACAACTTTTTTGTACAAGTTCATGTTGCATTGTTCAAAATACCTGTAGTAGCACAGCAGTGCACACCTGTTTACATTTAATTAAGGTGGACTAGACTAGACCGGATAATATCGTATCGTGGGGCCTCTGGTGATTCCCACCCCTAATTTTAATGTTTTTTTCACAGTGTTTCTGTTCATCTCACTGTTTTTGCAGTGTAAGGAGAGATGATGTGATCACATCAGTGACACCCCGTCTGACCTGCACTGAATTCGACTGTCAGACCCTGATCAGACAGAGAGTCAAAGACAGACACAAAACCAGCATGAAAAACAAGCGCTTCCCTCTGCTCTCATCTGGATCACCTCCAGACCAGCAGCAGCCAATCAGATCCCCTCAAAATACATCAAGCGTGTGGCAGAAATTCAGGGATTTAATGAGCCTCAGAAGGAGGAGTATTTCAGGAAGAGAATCAGTGACGAGCATCAAGCCAGCAGAATCATCTCACACATTAGAAGATCAAGAAGCCTCCATATCATGTGTCACATTCCCGTCTTCTGCTGGATCTCAGCCTCTGTGCTTCAAAACCTCCTGAAACATCACAGTACAGAAATCCCTCAAACTCTGACTGAAATGTACATCCACTTCCTGCTGACTCAGATCAACACGAGGAATCAGAAGTATGATGAGATCCTTTGAGATACACTGAGATCTTTAAGGAGGAATCTGTGATTCATCAGAGGAAAGTCTACTACTTCATACATCTGAGCTTTCAGGGCTTTCTAGCTGCTTCCTTTGTGTTTTACTCGCATGTAGTCAAGAATGAGGAATCACTGAAGTGGTTTCTGTATGCAGACTCTGTACAGAGAGATTCAGGAGTTTGTGAAATCAGAGAATCACTCAGTGAATAAACTCTCTCCGTCTCACTGCTCAACAATAGCCTATATACTTAAGATATCAGAGGAGGTGCTGGATGAGTTTGATCTGAAGAAATACAACACAGATGAGGGTAGAAGGAGACTGATACCAGCTGTGGTGAACTGCAGAAAAGCTCTGTGAGTATTAATTTATGAGATTGGAGGTGAAACTGAATGTGTCTTTTATTGAGACACAGTAACATTGTAATTCCTCCATCAGATCATGAAAAAAAAAAAAAAAAATCAGATCATGACATGATTAAAAAATACTGTTTTAATTTTAATGAAGTGTTTAGTCCCTCCCATCTCACTCCAAACAACATAACCTGTCAGACTCAGAAGGAGTTAATGAGGCATGTCCTGAATTTTGGTCAAGTTTAATCAAGCTGTTCATCAATTGTTCCTTCTGTTGAGGTCCACCTTTATCAGACTGTAAAGGTCAGATTGAAATGATTAAAGAACTTGGTAAGAATGTCCATGACCGTGTGTCAGGTACTGCTCAACTTTTGGACTTTTAACACTTTTTAGTTTTATTGTTAGTTACATAGGGGAATATGGGGGAAGAACAAAAGGTTCCCAATGGGATGTTGTTGTTGGTGTAGAATTAATGGATGTATTATTTAATAATTTAATAATTATATGTACAATTAAAACATTTTTTATTATTCATCATAAACATACAGGCCAGTTGTAACACAGTTTGTAGATCGGGAAGAAGGAGGCGGGAACCGGCGAACATTTAAAGAAAACTTTAATAAAATAAACACACAAAACGAAAGTAAAGCGGCAGCCCCTCGCGGACGACTGCCGCACACAAAATAAAAGTAGATATGTGGGGTGTGTTAGAACGAGCCGTTTTAGGGGGGCGTGGCAGAGTCTTAACTTTGATAAAGAATATCTCTTTGGTTTTGAGACTTTAGTCTTTGCAACTTCAGGGATCTTATCTATGCACAATCAGCTTGTAACACTCCAAAGAGAAAGGAAAACTTGAAATCGCATCATATGACCCCTTTAAGGGCCAACAACATCCATCTGACTCATCTGTACATAAGCCAATAATTAAAAATAGTGCAAATGGAACATAATAGTTTGAAAGCCACCACAAGCATCTCCTGTGATGATTCTGATGAACTTTGGAGAGGTTTGGTTCATTTTTATTGCTCAGATTCATTACTGAAGAAATAATGCGACGTAACTTATGGCTAAAGAAAATCTCTTGTTTTCTGTGAGACTAGATAAAAAGATGAAAAGATACATTAAAATCCATGTAATTTTTTAATTTTTTAAAAAACATTTAATTAATTATATTTTAATGTTCCATGCAATAATAATAATATATTTTTTAAACTGTAAATAATGAATACATCAGAACAGTTCTCGCAAAAAACAACACAGCTACACAATAATACTTCAGCTGATATAGTACTGTGAGGCACAAAAAAGGTGTAGTGGGAACTAGGGCTGGGTAAAAAATATCAATATCTCGATTTTAATCGATTCTCATTTTTACGAAACGATATAGATTCTTAAATCCCAAGAATCGATTAGTCTAGCCTGTTTTCAGTTAATGGATGAAACATTGAAGCGCACTTCCCATCCAATAAATCGCAATAAGTATTGTGCGTTGGTACTTTAAATATGAAACAAAGTCTCAGATTTCAATTTATGTCCATTGTATTGCAGTATTCAAACAATAAATGCCGTTTTGGCACTGTTTAATGTGAAGTGACAGATCGCTGTAGCGCCTCAGTTCAACAGACGCGCAGCGCGAAGTGCACGTGAACTGATAATCTCCTCCACATTAATACCAGTTTCAGCACAAAATAAACATGACTAAACATCCAAAGGTAAGTTAAAAGAACGAGTACAACAATCCTGTCTCATGTAATCGCTCAATCAGTGTTTCAGCCGCACAAAGACTACCTCAGAAAGCATATTTGGTGACCATAAACTCGATAGCCAGCCAGAAAAATAAACTGTAGAGAGGAGCATTTTGCTAAATATATGCACCATATAACATTAATTTAAATTTTTACCGTTCTTTAATGCTTTATTTATGTTTGAATAAATCCATCCAAGTTTTTATGACAGCCACTATTTAAATGCAGGGCTCGCAAAATCGCTAGCCCGACGTCCCGGGGCTATTGTGTTTTCCAGTCGGGCTACCAAAATGTATCACTGCCCTGTAGTGATATATAATCCCTTCCTTGATTCGCGTTGTTCACTGGCTTGTAGGGGTGAAACGGATCATAGTTTATCATTTACACGTGTTTCTAAGTCTTGCCAATTTAAACATTCAGGCGTTTTAAACCATTCATGCGCATGAAGAATTCAGTTCGGTGCTCGCGCGCACACACTCAAAGTGCGCACATACAGAGCGGCATTTCAGGCAGAGCACGAACAAAGAATTGATTCCTCTTTCGCTTGAACGGACACATACATGTACAATTATCTCAGAAAATACACAGGCAAAACCTTAGTTTACTTGCATGGAGACATTGCTTTTATTTGTATTATTTATTTATATGATTTGGGATTTGTTTTAAAATGTCAATTTAGTATATTGTTTGACAGTTTCAATTTCACAAAGTAATGTGCAGCCTTTTGGTCTGAGAAATAACAAAAGGACACCTTTTTAAAAATCTGTCTTAAATCTCATTTTGTTAAAAAAGAAATTGTGAGAAAATTGTATTGTGAAATCAGTATCGTGAATCATATCACATCGTCTGTATCGTGAATTTTATCGCATCGTAAGTTTAGTGAATTGTTACATCCCTATATGCTACTAGTTTTTGCTGATCATGCTGATTTGTCCCCAGTAAAGTTCAGCCGATGTCTTTTTTTATTTGGGATAGTTAAATTCATTTTGGGCTACCAAAACCTGAAGAATGCCTGCCCGAAGGGCTACCAGGGATTTTGAAAATTTGCGAGCCCTGAAATGTGTATATTTAAAAAAACTAACTGAAGTAATTGTAACTTAATTATTATAAAAACTTCATTAAGTGCAATTTAAGCCGTTGTACAGCACAAATCAGTCCGTTTTAACCTTCAATATTATAATGCAGTACCAACTGACTGTCATGTATATTTTAATGCTGCGGACGCAAGCTTCAGACGAAGAAGTGAATGATGTGTGCTCCCGGCGCCTATTTATACTATAGTCGCACCGGTAGTGACGTCATGGCTGTCGCCGGCCAACAAGTTGGTGTTTTTTCAATGTATGCTTCAGACACGGGTCACGACGAGGCGTTCCCCATAGCGACCCCTAGAGAACGCAGTGTCTCGTTCCCTACTCAGGGAACCATGGTTACATAAGTAACCTGAGACGTTTCTCAGTATTAATTTCTTGTTTATTGAACTGTTGTATGAAAGCAATATCACAATCGTGCTGTTTGTCCACCATCAACTGACAGCAGAGAAAGTGAGGGGAGATTAAAGGGAGACATTTAGCAAGCTTCCGAAAGTACACTGACAAAGATAAACTTACTGCTAAATAAATGATCCTTTCAGACTTTAGAGGAACAAAATACAATTTCCGACAAACATTGCCATTAGCTTATTTCATTCTCTGTCAATTCATATAAATTTCCTTATCAGAGGTTGTTGACATTTTTTGTAAATAGCAGATATTCTGTATTTCATGTTGTCATCTTAGGACAGATAAAAATTAGAGCATTACTCTAAACACGTTTTTGTGTTTGTATTTGGAGTAGATGTGGATATATTCAGAAATGAACAAAACTGGTTCACCTGTGCAGGTGTTTTACACAGTCAATAATACACGGCCATAACTTAAGATTGCATGGCTGCCACATAAGGATGTAGTTAACTCGACAAAATGATCTTGTGGCTATAGCATATTATCATGTTCAGTGTTCGAACTATACCGTGGACTTTGGGGGAGCCCACTTGTTTTTTGTTTTTTTTAAGGGGGGGGGGTTCGTGCGCTTGCACGTGAATGAAGGCTTACAATGACTTACAAAGATACATAACAGCTACAAGTGTATGCACTACTTGCTTTATGCAAGCGCTATATAGGATAAATCCCTATACAGGATTTACCCTATTATACTTTATCGACACGAATTGATAGGTGAAACAACAAACAGCCACCCACAAATAGTCTATAAACAAAGCATCAGGCTGTCTGAGTTCACATGAACAACGGTTAAAGTTACTCGTCGTCAGGCTACAGAAGAATACCATAATTCCTCCGTTCAATTAGGCCTAAGACATCGAGAGTCACGCAGACCTATAACAACCCAGCCACAACACACTTAGCAATGTATATTACTAATCAAAAATTAAGTTTTAATATATTTACAGTAGGAAATTTACAAAATATCTTCATGGAACATGATCTTTACTTAATATCCTAATGATTTTTGGCATAAAAGAAAAATCTATCATTTTGACCCATACAATGTATTTTTGGCTATTGCTACAAATATACCCCAGCGACTTAAGACTGGTTTTATGGTCCAGGGTCACATATGTTGTGGCCTTGACATACTATGACGCTTTCCAAGATTACTATGTCACGGGCACGACAAAACAAAGGGAACCAAATGTATCCCTTCCCCGTCGTTTTAAAATATGAAATCAGACTGCTACTTTTGTTAGTAACCAAACTGTGTGTGAACATAACAGTATTTATCACTCTAAAACACGACTTGACACTGTATTCTGACGCTGTGTGAACTGGGTCAAAGGTGCACTAGATGAAGTGAATATTTCCCTACA